ACCAAGCCCCTCAAGCCTCCCACGTCACCCCTCCAGGCCCTCTGCTTGCGAGGCTGGGGCACCCCAAAACGGGCCAAGCCCCCTGATCATGGCCGGGCTCTCCCCGTTACCTGTCTCTTCGTCGGGCGCTCTGGCAGGGAGGAAGCAAAACTTTGCCGGCAGCTTCGGGGTCGGGTGGTGGAATTTGATATTTTCCCTTCCCCGGGTGGAAGATGGAGGCGTGGGAAGGCGCCTGGGGCTGCGGGAGGCCGGGGAACAGCATTAGGGAAGGGACCCAGAGCAACCTGGTCCCGGCCCTGCGGAGGGAGGAAGGGGCGAGCAGGGATGGGGGACGCAACCCCTCTGGGAATGGTCCCCAGGTACCTGTGATGAGCTGTGCCGTGCTCAGCACCCCACCCAAGTAAACACCCAGATGGCGGTGGGGTGGAAATCACAGCTGCCTCCTCCACCTGCAGAAGCAAACGAAGGGAGGAAATCCCAAACCCACGTCCTGGGGAGGGGGGTTTGGAATCACCCTGTCCCGATCCGGCAGTCAACCTCCGTTGACATCCCTAGCTCCTCGCAGCGGCGCAGGGCTCGCTAACGGGATGCGAGGGTCAGGCTTTGGTCAACCCCCACCCCTGCCCCACAAGGCACTCAAATCCAGGTCCAAAGTTTGCGGGGTTGCAAAGAACAAGGGCAGCCGCTATCACGCTTCAGGGAAAAGGATTTAAAGGCACCGGGGGTGGTGAAATGCTCCTCCTTACCTGCTTCCCGCGGGCTAAGGCGAGCCGGGAGGGAGCGGGGAGGGCGGGAGAGATGGCAGCTGGGCAGAGGGAGCAGCTCACCTCTTTGTGACCTTGAGAAAAATGGCCCCGATTTGTCCCGAGGGTGGCCCCGATTTGTTCTTGGTGAGGTGGGTCACGCCTTGTCAGGCGTTCGGGTGTTTTGCAGGCAGGGACGTGCCCTCCCCGCTCGTCCGTCTGTCCCGATGCCAGCAAAAATGGCTGCGTGTGCAAACCCTGCAGGCAAAGCCAGGAGCTGGGGGAGCACCGAAATCTCCATCGGCATTTAAATAAATGCGTGGGAAGGCTTTATTCCTGTGGGAGAGCTCCTCTCAGCGTCGCTGCTCTTTAGGAGTCGGATCCCGCTTGCTTCTCTTTGGGGATGAAACAACCCCACGAGAGCGCCTTGCCACAAAGCTGCAACATCGGAATCTCAAAAACAGGCTGGCAACGGGGTGTAACCGGGGAATTTGGGGCTCCAAAGCTAACCGTTGCCCCCAGTGGGATGGGGACTGGTTTGCTCCAGCCATCCCCAAGCAAGGGCTCGGCACAGCCAGGGTGCAGGGTGGGTTCCCCATCCACCAAGGACGGCAACGTTGCCAAGTGTGGCAATATCCTGGCAGGGAGGTTTTTCCCTTCACCTTTGTTCCGCAAACCACGGGCTGATGAGCTCTGGCTGGACCAGGGAGCCTGGGGCGAGCCCTGCCACCACCCACTTTTAATCAAGAAACTTGCCATAACCGGAGGCACGAAAGCTCCTCCGCACGCAAGAGCTGCAGAGGCAGCGGGTTCACTGATGCTTTGGGGTTTTTCCACTCTTCACCAATCTCAGAATCATGGAACTGTTATAGTTGGAAGAGACCTCAAAGATCATCAAGTCCAACCTTCTACCCAACGCAACCATGCCCACTAAACCACGTCTTTGGTCCCTCCAGACCTTGGTAGGATGGAGTTGGGGCAGCCCAAGATGTCGGGGGTCAGCAGTGGTTTTTGGGAGGATGCCCACCCCCAGTGATGCCTGACCACCACCCGCTAAAAATCCACCCTGCG